CCGGGCATACATAACTAGGTAATTGGGGCACGCTTCACTCTAATGTACAGTTGTGCTTGCCTGCTAATCGATTACCTAATGTCGTGCGTTGTGGTTAAATGGAATACCCTGCATGCGCTGAGCGATAATAAACTCAAAGGCTTGTTGCAGTAGTTATATAAACTGTATATCTGCTTGATATCTAAGCCAAGCTCAACAGTTAATTGGTATATTAATGGGAATACCCTTCTTACTTATTAATTTACCCAAACTGTGAAGCTGAAAAGCATCTTATTAAAAATAACAATTTTAAAAAATAAGAATTAAAAATATATATCAATAATTTAAGGAAATACGCTTCATAAAGTGTTTTTTTGTTCTTTAAAATAAGACCTAGAATTTATAGAGGGCATGCCAATTAGAAAGAGACAGAAACATACAAGGAATACCCCTCATATTAAAAGATATAGCCTTAGGAAACTTTTAAATTGTGTGCAGGGTATTTCCTTTGCTTACTATATTAAAAATCACATTCACATTTATAGGGAATACCCTTTACATGAGTTTACACACACTAAAAAAGTAAATTTAATAGAAAATGTTCAAGATGATTTCCATATTATTGTCTATTTATCTATTATCTATTATCTATTATCTATTATCTATTATCTATTATCTATTATCTATTATCTATTATCTATTATCTATTATCTATTATCTATTATCTATTATCTATTATCTATTATCTATTATCCATTATCTATTATCTATTATATATTATCTATTATCTATTATTTATTATCTATTATCTATTATCTATTATCTATTATCTATTATCTATTATCTACTATCTATTATCTATTATCTATTATCTATTATCTATTATCTATTATCTATTATCTATTATCTATTATCTATTATCTATTATCTATTATCTATTATCTATTATCTATTATCTATTATCTATTATCTATTATCTATTATCTATTATCTATTATCTATTATCTATTATCTATTATCTATTATCTATTATCTATTATCTATTATCTATTATCTATTATCTATTATCTATTATCTATTATCTATTATCTATTATCTATTATCTATTATCTATTATCTATTATCTATTATCTATTATCTATTATCTATTATCTATTATCTATTATCTATTATCTATTATCTATTATCTATTATCTATTATCTATTATCTATTATCTATTATATATTATCTATTATCTATTATCTATTATTTATTATCTATTATATATTATCTATTATCTATTATCTATTATCTATTATCTATTATCTATTATCTATTATCTATTATCTATTTATCTATTTATCTATTATCTATTATCCATTTACACATTATCTATAACTAAATCTATTTATAGAACTGAATTGAACTCTATGGGTATTTGAGCGTAGCTATAAATAGATGTCCAGAGTTGCCAGCTAATCGAAAATGATTTTTATCTTTGCTTATAGCGCGTCTACTATCTGTCCCTGGAGTACTACATGGGCAGATCGCTGACCAACACGATGATCAACTTGGGCATTCAGAGCGAGTGCGAGGAGGCAATGTATCAGCTGGGTCTGGACATTGAGAATCTCGAAGAGATGGAAGAGGATGCTGGCTTGGGCAATGGTGGTCTGGGTCGTTTAGCGGCCTGTTTCCTCGACTCGATGGCCACACTGGGTCTGGCTGCCTATGGCTATGGCATACGCTATGAGTACGGCATCTTTGCCCAGAAGATTCGCAATGGCGAGCAGGTGGAGGAGCCCGATGATTGGCTGCGTTTTGGCAACCCATGGGAGAAGGCGCGTCCCGAATTCATGTTGCCCATCAACTTCTATGGCCGTGTGATCGATACGCCCGAGGGCAAGAAGTGGGTGGACACGCAAAAGGTCTATGCCATGCCCTACGACAATCCCATACCCGGCTACAACAACAACCATGTGAATACGCTGCGTCTGTGGTCCGCCAAGTCGCCCGTCGACTTCAACCTCAAGTTCTGTGAGTAGATATGAATATGAACTTTAAAAACCTTTACTGATCTTATTGTCTGCCTCAAACAGTCAACGATGGTGACTATATTCAGGCCGTGCTGGATCGTAATCTTGCCGAGAACATCTCTCGTGTGCTGTATCCCAACGATAACTTCTTTGAGGGCAAGGAGCTGCGTCTGAAGCAGGAGTACTTCATGTGCGCTGCCACCCTGCAGGATATCATCCGCAGATACAAGGCTTCCAAGTTCGGCTCTCGCGAGGCTGTGCGCAACACCTTCGAGCACTTCCCCGAGAAGGTGGCTATACAGCTGAACGATACGCATCCATCGCTGGCCATACCCGAGCTGATGCGCATCTTGGTCGATGACGAGCACCTGGAGTGGGAGAAGGCTTGGGATATCGTCGTACGCTCTTGCGCTTATACCAATCATACCGTGCTGCCTGAGGCTCTGGAACGCTGGCCTGTGTCCATGTTGGAGTCGATTTTGCCACGTCACTTGCAGATCATCTATCACATCAATTTCCTGCACATGGAGAATGTGAAGAAGAAGTTCCCCGAAGATTTGGATCGCATGCGTCGCATGTCCTGCGTTGAGGAGGATGGCGAGAAGCGCATCAATATGGCGCATCTCTCAATCGTTGGCTCTCACGCTGTCAATGGTGTGGCTGCCATCCACTCGCAGATTCTTAAGGATACTCTGTTCCGTGACTTCTATGAAATGGACCCCAAGAAGTTCCAGAATAAGACGAACGGCATTACACCCCGTCGTTGGTTGTTGCTCTGCAATCCGGGCCTGTCCGATCTCATTGCCGAGAAGATCGGTGACGAGTGGCCCGTGCATTTGGATCAGCTGGTTGCCCTCAAGAAGTGGGCCAAGGATCCCAACTTCCAGCGCAATGTGGCACGCGTCAAGCAGGAGAACAAATTGAAGCTGGCTGCCATCTTGGAAAAGGATTATGGTGTTAAGGTGAACCCCGCCTCCATGTTTGACATTCAGGTGAAGCGTATCCATGAGTACAAGCGCCAGCTGCTCAACTGCCTGCACATCATTACCCTGTACAATCGCATCAAGAAGGATCCCACAGCCAACTTCACACCCCGTACAATTATGATCGGTGGCAAGGCCGCTCCCGGCTACTATGTGGCCAAGCAGATCATCAAGCTGATCTGCGCCGTTGGCAATGTCGTTAACAATGATCCCATTGTTGGCGATAAGCTCAAGGTCATCTTCCTGGAGAACTATCGTGTAACGCTGGCCGAGAAGATTATGCCCGCTGCTGATCTATCTGAACAGATCTCTACGGCTGGCACTGAGGCATCCGGCACAGGCAACATGAAGTTCCAGCTGAATGGTGCCCTAACCATTGGCACTCTGGATGGTGCTAATGTGGAGATGGCCGAGGAGATGGGTCTCGATAACATTTTCATCTTTGGCATGACCGTCGAAGAGGTTGAGGCCTTGAAGAAGAAGGGCTATAATGCTTACGACTACTACAATACCAACCCGGAGGTCAAGCAGGTCATCGATCAGATTCAGGGCGGTTTCTTCAGTCCCGGCAATCCCAACGAATTCAAAAATATTGCTGACATACTGCTGAAGTACGATCACTACTACTTGCTGGCCGATTACGATGCGTACATCAAGGCGCAGGATCTGGTCTCCAAGACCTATCAGGTAGGCTCTTGCATATATGTGCATATTTATTGTGTTATCCAAACTCAATTTCTGTCTTTGTCTGCTGCAGAATCAAGCCAAGTGGCTGGAGATGTCCATCAATAATATTGCCTCCAGTGGCAAGTTCTCATCGGATCGTACCATTGCCGAATATGCCCGCGAGATTTGGGGCGTTGAACCCACCTGGGAGAAGCTGCCGGCACCGGAGGATCAGCAATAAATCAATTCAATTCACTTTTTTTGATATTATCTATATATTTTATTATTCGTGTGCTTTACTTATGTTAAAGTCCCCAAACCCCCCAATTTTTAGGAGCCAAAGCTAGCGCTAAGAAGTGAACATCGATCGGGCTCATTGTTATAAATATTAAATATCTTATTTAATAAATTTTAAACAAATCCATTTCCATATCTTCAATTTGATGGAAACGAATTAGCAAATTATTCTATTCAATCGCCATTCAAATCTCAGGAAAAACTTTCAAAGTAATCAATAAAAAAACTGAAAAGAAAAACCAAATTGAAAAACTTCGTTTGCAACTTAGTGCAAAGCTTTGTTTTAGATATGGATATAAATATGCGTGTTAAATACAAAATGAAATAAAAGTTCAACTGTTAAATGTAAAGAACAAATTATTTGATATAAGGGTTAGGAAAAGCCAATGCAAATAAGGCTGCGTATTGGTATCCAATTGGATAATTGGGATCTGAAGTCAATTGGGTTAGCACATGTTAATTTAAATTCGTTTGTATAAAAATCCAATTTGATTAAAGTCTAGAATTGATTGTGTGTTGGCATCCAATTGGACAATTGGGACTTGTTGTCAATTGGGTTAGCAACTGTAAATTTAAATTCGTATGCAAACTAAATCCAATTGGGTTAGTCACCAGATATGACTTTGTGATGGCATCCAATTGGATTGTATGAATCATAAGCCAATTGGCAAATGAAAAGTTAAATTGATATTAATATTAAATCCAATTGAGTAAGGAACTGCCAATTCAAATATGAAATCCAATTGGCCAGAATTGTATTTTCAGCCTATTTGATATATTATCAATGATACGAGTTCAAGAATTATGCCGCGCTGTTGAGATTTAAGAACCTTAACTGAAGAAGTTATATAAAGTAAAAATCCCAATAGCCATGGATAAACTTTCACAAAAAGGCAGCAATTTTTGGACTCGTCACGCTTTATTTAAAGTTATTATAAATAAACAACAAAATTGTTGTGTAGGAGAGAAAGTTCGACATCTAAGGCTACTGAGTAAAGCACAGCTACGAGCCGCAATGCCAACTAAAATACGGCGCACTCGTCGTCTTTTCGTTAATATTGAGGCTGACAGCTGTCGTAAGTGTAGCTGCTCAATGAATAAGCGCGATTTCTTGAATAATCCCTCCTATGATCCCTGGGCGTTGGCAAAGTACAAGCAAATGGAAAGAAATGCGGCGTTCCATGCATATGCCTTAACTAATCTTTGTTATACTGAGCCCCACTGGCATGATTGGGAACTAAGTCGTCAGTTGGCTGGACTGAACAAGAATCTAGACAACCTGCAGCATGAGCAGCAAGCCAATGCATATTACCAGCCAAGCGAGAGCCTGAATAATCAGTCATGCTTCGCAGCCAACCAAGCGGATTCCACACACTCGATGGGTGACTCTGCTGGCTATGCACCTGACCTGAATACCCTCACCAATATGCTGCAACAGACTATGGTCAAGCTAGACAGCCTGCTGAGTCTGCAGGCTGAACAGCAAGCTCAAGTGCCACAGTTTGATATGAGCTATGTGCCACAACTATTCGACGCTCCGTCGCCCAGCCACAGGGCCGCCAAGACAAGCCGCGGCAAGCGCTTGGTTAAGGTCATGCCACTGCAGCCTTTGGTCATTATGCCAGCGGCAGTAGCTAGCCAAGCAGCGACTACACCAGCTGCAGCACCAGCAGCACCTGCAGCCCCTGCGCCTCATGCCAAGTCGCTGATACCCTACACTAGACATCGAACGCGTGTGCGCAAAAAACGTTGCAAGGCCGCGGGCTCAAGCGCTTCAAGCTCGCAAGTGGGTAAGACAGCTTGGACTAACTAACTGCCTGTGCTCCCAGTCTCACCTTTTTTACCTCTGCAGCTGAGCCTGCTTGCCATATGAAAGACGCTGGCACCACCATGTGGTGTCCCAGATCATGCTGCAAGCATTGCTGCGGCATTGTAACGAACAGCGCGACTAACTTGGCCGAGTGCCCAATCAAGGCGCAGCAAATGGAAGCCAAGGACACGCCCATTGCTCCGCTCTCCATACCCATACAGCTGACATTACCACAGAGCAGCTTTTTGGGCGCATATCCTCAGCTAAGTCCACTGGGTGCTGGTAGCTATGCCGAGGGATACTCGCAGAACTCGCCCGTAGATCCTGCAAGGTCTAACGGACAGAGTTCAATGGATCAAAGCAGACATTCTGCCGAGTGTACATCGTGTGATAGCAAATGTTCCGCTGCAGCGCTAGATCCTGACGGATATTCCAGTGGTTCGCAACGGAGTGTTTTCATAGATCGTGGAAGCTATGCCTTGGCGCCGCCACACGAAGATAATGCAAGATGTTACGAACAGCTTTCCGGGCATTCATCCAAGTGCAGTTCCTTAGATTCTGCCAGATCCAGGCACGACTTGGACTGCTGCACTGCAGCCTCTGAAAGGGAACGAGCGCTGGCTGGAAAGTTCTATTATTCCTACACAGAAGAGGAGGAGGAAGAAGAGCAGCTCGGAACAGAGTCTGAACTGGAGCAGAGCAGCGGGGACGAGTGGTACCAAAAAGTGCGCAACAGTCTGGACGAGTTGGAAAGACAGCAGAATTACTTTTGCAATAAGAAGATCCCTCTGTTCACCTGCGACAAGCTGCAGCAGACGGACTGCTCTAGCTTCGCCTTCTCGCCTTTTAGAAGCACAACAGACAAGGCCGTTGGCACCGCCGACTTGCAGGCCACAAATCCGCATAGGATTGTGCGAATGGGCAAAGCATCTGCTCTGAAGCGTAGAAGGCGTAAGCCGCTGCATAAGCCACAGGCTAAGGTCAAGTTTCTCGGGCCGCCAAAGAGGCAAACCTTTCCGCTGCAGCTGGATCAAGCGCCGCTCCAGTCCATGAGCGAGGCTGTTCCAAGGGCCGAGAAGAGCCGCTTCTACACACACGAACAGCTCGCCAGATATCAGAAGCTGCTGGCATTGGTGGAGAGCACGGGAGAAGCGGATCGAAAGGTCTACAGTCAGCTCAAAGGAAATCCTCTGATTAAGCAGGTAGCCTTTCGTTCAAAGGGAGGCACTGGCTCGACTAGCTATCCCACCAACTGGTCGCAGTTGAGAAATTCCTACTCTCAGCATGCCCTGCCCGAATAGAGTCTCAATACGTAACATAAATTTCAAATTTGGGGGCGAGATGAATGCAAATTAAAAGAGAGTCATACATATATATATATAGAGAGAGAGAGGCAAACTATGTATAATGTTGACTCTGATGAGTGTGAGGCAGATTGTGAGAATCCTGGCCAATGCCAGCGTGCGCTAAGAGTCGATGACTATGTAAGCTCCAATTACATGAACAATGTCGTGCACGACCTCGAGGAGAGTCAATGGGACGTATCCGAGTCGAGACCCTATCATCTGGACAGTGAGGCATGGAATGCCAATGACAACATCGAAACTCCGCTGGCTGCAAACATGTACAGAAACAACGCTCTGGACTTTGAGAATCAACAACAGGAACCGAAGATGCAGTCCACGGTTCTACTCTTATTTATTAAGTATGCGAAGCTTGAGGCTTGTTTGTCACTTGTCTTCATTAACAAGTCGTTTGCTTTAGCCCCCCAAACAGCGACAACAAACCAACTGCAAACCCTTTGAATTATGCCCGTCAACCGGAAGCGTTTAATGGGAACAGGTATTGTTAGCTATATACGTATTTAAGCAAGAGTTCAGATCGAGCCAAGTGTGCCTTGGCGTATATTTCATTTGCTTTGCTGACTGACTTCTCTCTCTCTCTCTGTCTTTCTCTTTATCTTCTCTCTCTCTCTATCTTCTCTTAACTACCCAAACTTCTCTTGCAAACCAGCAGTCGTCCAGATCGAGCAAGCTATCCAGAACGCAGGCCTAGCGGTGAGGTGCGATCAACCAGTAGGTAAGATCAATTAAAGCAAAAGACAAATTCTGTTCCTCATACATCTGATGGTTCAGTCAAATGGAAAACGATCCGTTTGCTGTGACCTGCTTGTGTCAGGACGACTCTGACCAATGGTACGAAGCGGAGCCAAACACGGTGCAGTGCCAATGCAAGCCAGCAACTGGCTACGATTCCGATTCAGATGATTTGGATGAGAAATGGCAGTTGTCCCTCGCAAAATACAGGGAAAACGAGGAAGCAGGAGCTTCGAAAACGAAGTCAAGCCAGAGGGCAAAAAATTCGAAACGCGGAGACCAGAAAACTTTTGGCAAGGCAGCCACAACGAGCCGGAAAGCCATGGGCAGGAAGGGGACAGCAAGCCAGAAAGCAATGGGCAGCGCAGCAGCAACAAACAAGAAAGCAACAAGCAAGAAAACAAACGACAGAAAATACGCATTCTATAATCGATTCTCACCGCCGCCTTTTGTGATCGAGCCAAAGCCTCGCTGCTGCTGCGGGCAGCGTCCGATGTGCTGGAATCACTGCGGCTGCTGCTGTCAGTATTAGGGGACATCTGTGCATATCTATGAATCCGATCCAACAGAAAACAAGAGCTTTATGGAGATCCCTGTCAAAAGAAGCAAATTATTTGTCGTATAAATTGTGTTGTGACTCGACCCAAAGCTTTACTCTTTGGCATTTGGTAAAGCATGACGGGTTTACGCAGAAAGCGACGCTCCTCCAAGCAAATTCTGCTACGCAGGGCTGTCAAGAGGCGGACAAGCGATGTGGCGGTGTTGGATTTGCCCAGAGTACGGACTAGCCCCCAGGCAAAGGCCATCACTGTGGTGAGTGCCATCAACAGGGATGCTCAGCTTAGGTACATCATGGAGCACTGCTTATCGAACAACTCGGCCTCCAGCTGGGAGCCAAGGCTACAGCAACGAGAGAGACCCACGGCCAAGCGAAGCATTGCCAATGGTAAGAGCTACAAATGATAGCGATTCGGCCTAAGTTTCCTTTTCTTGTTTCAATAGAGTCGGATTTCGACCGAGATCATTCTCGATCTTCCAAGCGGTCGAGACATAGCTCATCTGGCTATCCCTCCAGTTGGAATCTAGAAGTGCCTCGCTGCGACAATGACGACCGGCTCAATGATGATGTGTTCAGCTTTGACAAGATGCTCAACCACAAGCCCCAAACCCCTCAAGGTCCGACAGGACGAAAAAAAAAGTGTAATACGGCGGTGCAATGCAAGATGCCGCACAGGTCGAAGCAGCCGCGTCCCAAGCCCAGATCCCAAACATCCGCGACTAGTATGAACATAATTGAGCAGATAACGGATGAATCAACTGCAATTGATGCAAGGCAAGCCGAACAGCGGGCGCACAGTGGAGACGCCAGCAGCTTGTTTCACAATACTCTGAGGCTTAGCCACAACACTGATGTCTGCACTTCATCCGATTGCAGCTGCGCCTGGAATCGCGATGAAGTCGACTACAATCGAAATCAATCGAGTCTAGCTCAAATACCAGAAAAATATAGTCGCATTCAGAGCTTAAGTCGCCCACCCACTGGTTTGGCCCGTGAAAGCTTAACTTCAAGCCAAACGGAGGGTAAAGAGCGAAGTGTGGATCGTAGAAGTCAAGTGCGCAGTAAAAGAAACAGCCGCAGAAGCCAAGCAGAGGATGAAGGGAGGGACTCTAAAGAGAGAAGTGTGGATCGTGGAAGTCAAGAGCGCAGCAAAAGAAACAGTCGCAGAAGCCAAGCAGAGGATGAAGGGAGGGACTCTAAAGAGAGAGGTGTGGATCGTGGAAGTCAAGAGCGCAGCAAAAGAAACAGTCGCAGAAGCCAAGCAGAGGACGAAGGGAGGGACTCTAAAGAGAGAGGTGTGGATCGTGGAAGTCAAGAGCGCAGCAAAAGAAACAGTCGCAGAAGCCAAGCAGAGGATGAAGGGAGGGACTCTAAAGAGAGAAGTGTGGATCGTGGAAGTCAAGAGCGCAGCAAAAGAAACAGTCGCAGAAGCCAAGCAGAGGACGAAGGGAGGGACTCTAAAGAGAGAGGTGTGGATCGTGGAAGTCAAGAGCGCAGCAAAAGAAACAGTCGCAGAAGCCAAGCAGAGGACGAAGGGAGGAACTCAGCTGCTAGAAGCCAGGAAAATGGCAATAGAAAACAGAGTCGAATAAGCCACGAAATGGGCAGGGACAGCAATGATAGAGCAGATTATCTTAGAGTGGAGGCAGCTGCTCAGACTGAGATCGAGACCGACGATCCTGGTGTGGAGCAAAATGTGAACGTAGCGGGCGGGACCAAGCCAAAAGCCGTGTCTAGTCCAATACAAGGCACAGCAACACAACAATCTAGGCCAGGTTCAATGTATAGCTCAAACTCTCAAGATGCGAAAGGGTTCTTGGGAGCACAAGCAAGAGGCTCGAGTCCTAGAAGCCAAAGGAACAGCAATAAAGGACGAGACGTGGACAGTTCGGAGCCAGTCGATGACAACAACTGCATTATGGTGCCCTGCCCTAGAGCTAACAGAACAACTAATCAGTCGTATGTAAAATATAATGAAAATATGCATTTTTGCTACTGCAATGTGGGAAAAAATGGTGAGCCGACTGAAGGATGTAATTGTGAATATTTCGAGGCCGACGAGCCGAGTGGGCAGCAAAATGTGCATCAAGAAGATGAACAGGTAGCCACAAGAACGTCTCAAAGATCTGATCCCGAAGCAAGCTTTAGCTCAAGCCCCTTAAAAGAGAGGAGCACAATGACCCAAGTTGAAGCCCAAGAATCTGAGCAGAGCTTAGGAGAAGCCAAAGAAGCGACTCCTAAAGCAAAGCGAAACCAATCGACGTCTGTAAGTGCGCCAAATGAAGCTAATCGAATTTCGACCTCTCGAGCAGCGACTGAAACCTTCAGACGACAGGACCAATCGGGAGCTGGAAGCGCTAAAGAAGAATCCACAGCAGTAGCACGTGAATCAAAACGAAAGACGGAGCCATCGCCAGATCAAAGTTCTAGTTCGGCTAGTTCCAAAGCCATGCAAAATTGTTGCCAGTTTGCGAATCCCAATTGTAGATGCTGCAGAACAGCTCGCACTTCGAGTCAGCCGTGGTGCATCATTGGCAATCAACAATGGCTTGGCAGTTGCCCATGTGGTTGTTGCTTCAACAGAGAGCCGAGACAGAACAAGAAGTGCAGGGTACACAAGTTCTGCAATTGCCACTGTCAATGTTGCTTGAAGGCGTTCAATATGACAGCCGCAAGTGCTCAGCCAATAGCTGTTGAGGATCAAGAAGCATTGGAAACGGTGTCGGGCTCGTGCTCAGACTCGGGCTCTAGATTAAACTCAAGGTCTGCAGCGAACACGGTTGGATTCTTGGAAACGAGACAAGCCTCGAAAGCAGACTCCAAACTGCGCGCGCCGCAGGCCTCGAGCTTGGACCTGGGCTCGGGTAAGAGATCTACGAAAGTAGAAGAGAGACCAGAGCCAATTCCTAAAGAATTAAAAAGCGGCTCGATTAGATCCAGCAACATGAACAAGGACTCCAAGCTGCGCGCGCCGCAGGCCTGGAGCTTGGACCTGGGCTCGGGTAAGAGATCTACGAAAGTAGAAGAGAGACCAGAGCCAATTCCTAACGAGTTAAAAAGCGGCTCGATTAGATCCAGCAACATGAACAAGGACTCCAAGCTGCGCGCGCCGCAGGCCTGGAGCTTGGACCTGGGCTCGGGTAAGAGATCTACGAAAGTAGAAGAGAGACCAGAGCCAATTCCTAACGAGTTAAAAAGCGGCTCGATTAGATCCAGCAACATGAACAAGGATGCACAAAGTGTCACAATCTGTCCTAATTGCGGCATTAACATTAATGAATTTTTATACAATTCCGTAAACAAAGATATAAACTTCACGGAATCAGATGCTAGACATGGACGTGCTAGTGCGAATGAAGAGCAACGCGTTTACCGATCAATAGGGAGTTCCAAGCTAACCGAGAGCACAATAGAGGCAAGTAAGCCATGGCAAAGTGCTGGTAGGAATGACGAAGGAATGTCCCATTGCAATCGCTGGACCAACCCAATGGAGAGCAACATGTGCAAGCTCTCGCCTGCTAAGGGCGCCGAGGATGAGCCGTTGGTTAATCTCGTTGTGAATGATAAATGCAATGTAGAGCAGTTGATTGAGATATTGCGCGGGACCGTCGCCGCGCTGGAGACACAGCGCAATTCGGCAGAGCCAGTCATCAGGCAGCCGGTAGCAGCAGCCAATCAAAATGAATTTCATTTCGATCAGAATATGGAGAATGGCAATCGGAATTATATGGATAGACATCAGATGATAGAGTGTCATAATGCACAGTCTAATCAAGGACAGGATCATTTCAATCTGAATTATAATGCTCTACCCTCTAATGCATATCCACAATACGAAACGCACTTGTCGCAAATTTACGAAACTCCGGACACTCGCAACACAGCGGCTTCCTTGAGAATTCGCACGCAAACCGAATACGATTATCCTGCTCCGGCAGCTGAGCCAGGCCAGCAGAATAACTACGTGTGCCGAGAGCAATGCACTTACTATCCAGCACTAAGCAATCAAGTTCGCAAGCGCAGCGGCTGCTGCTTTCCCAAATTTATGAGCGATATTAACCAGAGCAGTCCGATCGGAAAGCAGGAAGTTCTGCAGCAAAGTCTTCCCTCAAAATCGTTTTTAGAACTTCTCGATCTGACACTGGCAATAAAGAAAAGGAAAGAAGATTTTCAGAAAGATAAGCACAAAATGCGATTGTCCAATGAAAGGAAAAGGGATCTCAAGTTGACTCCAGGCTACGCAGGGCGAACAACAGATAGCCATGGGAAACAGTTGGATAGGGCCTATAAAGATATGAATCCAACTCAACCTCCATTTCATATAAACGAAGTATTTAATGTATCATCCGTTGAAAAATGCAAGGACTTAACAGAAGATGAAACTAAATTTGAGTGCAATGCTAGAGGCAACAGGAAAAGGTTTTCGGATGTGGAACACCCAGTTCAGAAAAGTCGAAAAGATCTCGGCTATTTTGGCCACAAGTACAAAAGGAAAACTCTACATCAGAGCCCAAGTCAGGAGACAGGGCATAGGAAAAACTTACTCCGAAAACAAATTTACTTGGAACAAAATACTTCTGATTCGGATTACTTCAGAGCAGCTAACTGTACGCCTCGAAATAGAGAATTGCAGTTAGAAGAAAGAGAAATTAGAGCAAGGAAAAGTTCCGGGTTTGATCAGATGAGAACAAAAGACATATTGCCCAGCTTATACGGCTTCGATTCCTGTAGAAGAGAGCCAAACAGCTCCGAAATGAAAATAATGCGATGCAGTGCGTTTTACAATCCCCAAGAGAGGCAATCGGAAGCATCTTACTTTGAAACGCGTTGCTCACGACGTCCTCAAAGGAAAGGTTACCCTTTGCGTAGCAGGGAAAGAAGTCGTTCGAGGTTCCAAAATCTTCTGCGCAAGCGAGCAAAGGATAAAAAAGAAAACTCCAATCTCTACATGACATGCGAAGCAAGATCTAAGAGTAGTATATCGAAAGACAAAATTGAAGCCGATTCGATTGGAGAGAACTTAAACAAGTCCAACTCCAGAGGCAGTTTTCTCTTTAACAAAAATCATAGAATGACACATAAATTGGATCCAAAAGCAAAACCAATAAATGATACAAAAAAACCTGAAAGAGAAATCAAAGAGAACAAATATTTTGACTATACAGAATTAAAGAGATGGGAATCGACAAGCAATTCATATACTAACAAACGAAGACCAGACACGAAATTGGAAGGCGAAAGATCACATCATAGGAAATCGAAGAATTCGGAATCAAAAATTGAACATTTTCCCATGAGAAGAATGGCCGGGGAAAGGAGAGTAAGCGAATCAGGAAGCAGAGTGTTGCCCAAAGACAAAATGATTGAAGTAAAGAGAGAAAGACCTGATTTTTCGGGAAATTTCGTAATAAGAACCACGCCTTTTGCTTTAAGAAAAAGAAAACTATGTGAAAAGGAAGCTAGTGAAAAAGGCGATTGTTCGGAACCAAACAAGTCAAAATTCACAAAAGAAAAACAAATTGAATTAAAGGGAAAAAGTGAAAGATCCGATTCTTCGGTATTAAAGAAAATAGAATCAAGAAACAGACTCCTTCCATCGCGAAAAACCATAAGCGAAAGGACATCAGATAATTCGGAGTCAAAATGTTTGGAGACACGGCATAGAGTTTTTGCCCCTGGAAAGCAAATAAAGGATAAGGCAGATAAAACAGTAATAGCTACTTTAAACTCGAGAAAACCCATTCCACTAAATCAAAACCAAAGAAGTGAAAAGGAAGCAAAAGATGGAAGCTTAAATTTGAAAGCAATATCAGTTGGTCCAAATTCAACCGTAAATAATACGAAACGGGAAAGGACAGAACAACGGGAATTAAATGCACCTAATGCTAAAGAACATTCAGAATTTAGACATAAGTCACATTTGTCAGCTCCTTTTCACCAGGAAAAACCATTGAAGAAATGGGCGCCAACACCTCCGCCTAAACCAGTCAAAAAAGCACCCAAAGCAATTGTTACTGTTTCTGCTTCTAATCACAAGCAACGTCCAACACCTCGAAGTTACCAAAAGAATGAAAGCGACTGCGAAGATATTAAAGTGCTCTACGATTCAAGGTCTAAATTTTCAAGGCATAGCTATGGAGGCGGAGATACGACCACCGATTGCGAATCAGATACCAAGCCATATGTTATATCAAAGTCTCGGCCAAGTACAAGTCAAAATAACTTCTTTTGCATGTTAAAAACTCGGGATAAACTTACGGATTCCAAGCGATATTCCCGTTAATTATACAAAACAAATTTACGAAACAAACTTTCAAATTTAAAAAAAATTCGCTTCGCCAGTAAATCAAATTAAACATGTAACAAAACACTCCATCGATTATTTATTAACACTGTTTACATATTATTATCGCTAGTCGATTAACTACCAGCTGTTTCCAATTAGTGTGGCGGTCGCACGACTTAGTATTATCGGCAACTCTACATAACATCAACAATTGGATCTCGTCGTAATTGTTGAAAAATGTTAAAATTCTTAAACAAAACACGACAATTGCTGTATCCAAACGTTCGCAATTTATCGCATAGCCTCACAGCATGCCAGAGTAATGCCGCATCTGAATCCACAACGTCGGTCGGCAAGGAAACACTTGCTTCCAAGCCGGCTCTAATACTGCCACAGAATTATGCGGACCATGCGCCCGTAAACCGAAACAGTGCGCGGCAAGCCTGGATAGAAAATGTGGATGCTGTGGCTGAGCGAAAAGTAGGCCTTATGGAACTGCATCCAGATGTGTTTGCTGCACAGCCGCGTGTCGATGTCATCCAGGAGAATATCGAGTGGCAACGCAAATATCGTTATGTAAGCATGGCACATACTAAAACACGCGCCGAGGTGCGAGGCGGAGGTCGCAAACCCTGGCCACAAAAGGGCATGGGTCGGGCACGCCATGGCTCTATACGTTCGCCACTATTCAAAGGCGGCGGCATCATCCACGGTCCTCGATCACCCACCAGCCATTTCTATATGCTGCCTTTCTACAAGCGAGTGATGGGACTTACATCGACGCTGAGCGTTAAGTTGGCACAGGATGATTTGCACATCATTGAAAATGTTGAGATCCCTACAAGGGATGCCCAGTTCATTAGAGATTTGATTAAAGAGCGTAATTGGGGACCCTCGGTGCTGATTGTGGACAAGTAATTACTCTTTAATTTCACTTTAAACTGCACTAACTGAAGCTAATTTTTTGTATCAGGCACGATATCTTTCCGGAGAATATTTGTTATGCTACGGATTTGATGGGCTATGTGAATCTGATGCCCGCATTTGGCCTGAATGTCTATTCTATGCTAAAGCATGATACTTTGGTGTTGACTGTGGAGGCTGTTAAGCATTTGGAGGAACGTTTGCTTTATCAGCTGCATCGCAATGATGCAGCCAGCAAGCAAAACAAATTTAAGCTCGATCAAGTTTAGATTAAGGGTTTATATAAATTTAATTGTTTTTACTTGTATATGAAATGCTACAAATGAAGTTTATTAACTACTGCTTCACTTGTTGCACAGCCTGTAAATTGCTTCTAAACGCTGTTTGTAAGGGGTCCTTATCCTTCTCAGAAACAAGGACTTCGCACTTTTCTTGAAGTCTCTCCTTCAGTATGCTCTGAAATTCTCGAAGGAATCCACGCTCCGAATTGCTGTGATTGCAAAGTAGCACTGTCGTTCCATTATGATTGAAATCCAACAATTCGTGGTGTGACATCTCTCCAGTTATAACCAAATCCGCTTGAATACCTTTTAAGACTGACCCACCGGATCCCGCGCAAATGCCAACAGTACGCACAAAAGTCTTTGGATGATGGTCAACAGCATAAGCTATATGCACACTGTTGTCTATGTGGTCTTGGAGGGCATGCACCAGCTGGGAAATGGGCATATTCGTCTCGACAAGACGTCCTGAGCCGGTGCCATCAACTGTGCCTGGCTCTGGAATCAAGGGCTTAATGCCCTTTATATCGACTGCCTTCGCCAGCCAATCATTTACACCACCCAGCACTTTATCCCATGCGGTATGCGGAGAGTATAATGCCTTGGAGTTGATTAAGCATCCGACTACTATACGCTCCTTCCAGTTGGCCATGGTGATCCGTGTCAATGGCCGAAAGATTGGAGGATGATAGCTAATAATGAGATCCACATTCTTCTCAAGAGCTTCACCCAACACGGGCTCAGTGAGATCATTGGTTAGCAGTATGCGTTCCACATGTTTCTGCAAAATCGTATCATTGAATTACGATATATTTCATATACATATCTAAATTGCTTACATCTGTGCTTGGCTCGATCAGCAGGCCCACGTTGTCCCATTTTTCGGCCAGAGATGTCGGTGCAAACTTTTCCAGCACATTGACCACTTCATTTAGTCTCAGACCAGAAAACGTTGCCATGTTTCTTCTCAGTCCTAATGCTCCACGAAACATTCAACAGAAAGTTCTTCACAATTACTTTAAAGTTAATATAACTAAACTTCGTACGATTTTAACATTGAGTGCTGGAAAACGTATATAAAATGTTTTTGTTGTTTCCAACACTAACTAATTTTGGCGGTTATTTGAAATTACGTTTGCGTCACGTGTCTGAAATTATACGCCAATTGCATTTAAATAATTCTAAACGCTAATGTATATATTATATTTATAATAGATGATATGTCAGTCTTGTCTCAGATTTAACAATTGCATAAGGGTATTATAAAATTTTAATTTCTGTTATTATTTTGTTCTTAGGCATTTGTTTGAAAGCTAATTTAAGTCACGTGATTGCAATATAACGCTTATCTGGGTTATACCGCTGTTGTCGTGGCTATTAATATTATGCCTAACAATTAATTTGCTTTTTCCAAGTAATCCTACATCATTAAATGCGTATGCTATAGGTATATATATATATCACGAACTTGTGATACCCTAAGCCAGCCAGGAATGAGTGTAATAGAGAAAATACACATATTTATTAATATATAATAATAATACATATAATATATAATACATATTCTTGAACAGAATGACAAGTCACATCCGTCATATGTATAAATTTGTACAGGTTTGAATTGGATTCATAAGCACAAATCATTTTTGAGTACAGAATATATACTAGTCGGGCACTTCGAGCTTGAGTTCCTACGTTCAGCTCCGCAGCTTGGGTTTTGCTAAGTTTTCGTTCTTCCGATCCCGCATTCCAATTTAGCAAAACATATTTGAAGTATTTAAGTGGTGATTTTCATTATAATTTTTGTGAACTTGCAACTTTTTGAAGAAAATCCCAAATGACGAGTCTGAAAGCAGATAAGAAAAAAACGCAAGCAACAGAGCACACAAGAATTACCCTGATTTTTAGCAAACAAATGTAAATCACACGGACGCCAAAGATCAATGTCCTTTAGTATTAAAAAAAATTTTACAAAAAAACAAAAAATACTATAAGTAAGTAAATAAATTGAATAACAATTTGACATTCTCAGTCGCATCTCATACATTATTCCTTTTGCAATCCTTTGCGCACTCATATGTTTCATTTTTTATCTGACTGCCTCATCTAGCAGCAGCTTCATTTAATGGCTGCATCAGCTGATGCAGCCATGTTTTGTTGTTCTTTTCTATCTGCATCTTCGTCCAGACGGCGAGGTCGACGGTAACCTTGTCGACACAACAGTTCATTTCAGTTTGGGACGCGAGCAGCGACAGACACGTCGCTACAAGGCAAAGGAAATTCTAACATATGGTATGTTTGTTGTCTTTAAAATAACTGCTGTTGTTGCTGCTAATATATTTGTTGTTGTTGCTGCTGTTGGTGCTGAGTGCTTCCGCATTCAAACTAAAGTTTTGGTCATTAGCGTTGCGCGCCTTATGCCAAAAGCTTTTGACATACTGATATGGCAACGCCGATTGGTTTCCCCCAACCACCGAAGCTTTGCTGTAAATATTGTCGGTGCAAAGCTAAATTTAAGCAGCTTTAACGAAACATCTTTAGTGCTATTTTCAACGTGAAAGAGTCGAGACGTTTGTATTGTAAAGCGGAGCGCAAATAAATTAACTACAAGTTAAAAGCGAAACGCGATCATAAATGTGGAACAGCATGCAAAACAAATTACAATAATAGACAAGTCAAAGAGGTGTGTGAGTGTGTTGAAACACAATAAGCTTACAACGATAATATAAATTCCAAAATACATACATATAAATTAAACAAACAAAAGAGCAAAACTTATAATTTGTGTGCAATTGCACATAAAAATAAAAGCAGAAGCTGTTCAGCAGCGTGTCTGCTTGTTTGTGCGTGTGTACATGTGTGTTACTGCGGCTGATTGTATTGGTGTCTATGGGTGTACGTGATACTGTAGCTGCTCGCGTTACTGTGGGTGACTGAATGTGTGTGCGGGAAACGAAGGCAGGTGCACAGGCTGAAAATAAAGCAGGCAACTTGAAATAAATATGTACACGAAATGCCTATGCAAATGGATTTCTTCTAATTATCCAAAGAGCAGGAGAAACAACTATTTTTGTTGTTGCTAATCATAACTTTGGACATGCGCTAATATGCTATTGCGTTTTCACTTGTATTGAACACTATATATTCGTTTCATTCGCACACACGGCAGCCAAGGCGAGTGTCAGAGAGACGCTTAAAGCGCAGTTACGCGAGCTCTCGATTTATGTACATGTATATACAATGATATCTCAGTGTGTGTGTGAATCTGAGTGTGAGTGAGTGCTTGGTAAAGCTTTAAAGCAAAGTTCAGCGTGTGAATTTCCATTAAATTGTTAAAGAAATTTTTACAGAAACAACGACAAGCAACAGTTTCAAAAAGAAAACGAGACGTTGGCAAATCATTTGCAAAAGAATCAACAGAGTAACAATTAAAATCAATAATAAAAGAAAAGGCCAACAGGCAGGCAACAAAGTTCAAAATGTGGAACCAAACGACAACAGCAGCAACAAGTGAGAATAACAAGGCTAAGGAAACGGTGGAGGATTGTAGCTGTGCTGCTGGTGGCGTTGCCAGCGCTGCCACAGCTGTCAGTGTTGAGCAACAGCAGCAAAGAGCTGCACTTGAAGCTAACAGTAAACAAGCAGCAGCAACAACAACATCATCATTTGGCGGCAAAAGCAGCGAACAACAGCAACAACAAAGCAGCGAAGCCGCCATTAACAAGCACAAAGAATTTGCAGCACAAAGCGAAACAAGCGATTCTGGTTTCATCTCTGGTCCCCAATCAGCGCAAATATTTAGCGGGGAAATAAGTGACGACGAAACAGGGCAGCAAGAAGAGAAAGAGAAGGAATCGGAGCAGGACAAGCGACAGGATCAGGGCCAAGAGCAGAAATCAGACAAATTGCAAACGGTGCTCGATTCGGGCATAATCGACGAGCTCGAGGAGGAGGAGCACGAGGAAGAGAAGGAGCAGACAACAACAACAAATCAAAGGGAAGCTGGCGTTGAGCAGCCGGCCAGCGAGCAAATGCGCTTCAAACACAATGTCGATACGGGCATACCCCAATGGACTGTACAGTCAAGCCTCGGTATGAACAATCTCAATATATCAGCAGCAACAAATGCCAACAGCTCCGCTGGACGAAGAAGCGCACCACAAACAACAACAACAACATCAACAGTAACAAATGCAGCTGGAAATACTGCTAATGCAACGGCTCCACTAAGCAACACCAGCAACAACATTAACATTATGAACGCCTGGGAGCAATTCTATCAACAGAATGACGACGGCGACACGTGAGTAATATAACAAAAAACCAGAAAAAAAAAACAAAAGTATTTCCGTTTGAAAAATACCCAAAAAAAGTAGGAGATGCAAAATTCCAACTTATAAGAAAGTTATAGAGAGACAGCTGTGAGTGACTTTAAATTACCCTGTAGTAGGTGGATGATACATGTTGCATATGGTCTTGTTTATGTCTGGAACTATATTTAAATACAAAATTATATACTCTATTAAAGTAAAAGTAACAGACTAGAGACAGTATTTCAGTAATACCTAGAACATAATAGCGATATATATTTCTTCAAGTAAACACATAAATATAGTTAAATTACATAAATATCTGCTTCTTAGCGACCAATTTAGGAGTCTTCTACGACCACAGATATACCAATAAATATATCTATGTGTATAGGGTATTTCAAGATGAAACATTCGCATAAAAATGTTGACCCGACCACCAACTGTGTGTGGGGATACTTTCATGAATCACAACAAATATACACAGAAAACACAAGACAATGAGACGACTTCTCGGATCGAATCGAATCGAACCGAGTCGTCTACAGACACATGTTAGTCAGGCAGTCAGGGGTTTTCCTGGTATGTCAACTACCTGAGCGGAGTGCAGTGTAGAACAGGTTTTTGGGTCGGGCAAATTTGTGGGTTTTTACAGGCAAAACGATCATGAAACAAGTGTGGAAAATGTGCAGGTAAAACATATTAGTTTAACCACATTACTCAACACTGGTTTGCTCTTGGTTTTTCGATATTTACTGCCAAGTATTATGGGAGTTGGTCATGGACTCAAGGGAAACAAATCATTAGCAAAAGTCATGTTAGGTTAGCTCAATTTATAACGCTGATTTTCATTTATAATTCAAACAGGACAGTTCTCAACACTTCAAAATATTTACAAGAATGTGGAAAAGGTTAAAGCTAGAACATTTCCCTGCAGTTGAGCTCATTTCTCAGCATTTCTTTGCGATCATTGCCCAGTACTAATATGGTTTCTCTCTTTCTCTCTTGTTACAGACCACTGCATTTGGCCTGCATATCGGGCTATGTGGATGTGGTTGCAGCTTTGATACGCATGGCTCCACATCCATGCCTCCTAAACATCCAGAACGATGTGGCACAGACGCCACTGCATCTAGCCGCACTCACAGCGCAGCCAACAATTCTGCGCATGCTTCTCTTAGCCGGTGCCGAGGTGAGCAGCCGCACCTTCCCAATCAATTACCATGGCTAAATCAATCTAACCTAATCCCCAACTATATCTATTTATCTTTGTAATCTATCGATCAATAGCCCACAGTACGTGATCGTCATGGCAATACGGCGTTGCATTTGTCCTGCATTGCCGGTGAGAAACAATGCGTGCGCGCTCTAACAGAGAAATTTGGCGCCTCAGAGATCCACGAGGCACATCGCCAATATGGACATCGTTCCAACGACAAGGCTGTCAGCTCTTTGAGCTATGCCCATCTGCCTGCCGATCTGGAGATACGCAACTATGATGGTAAGTTCATAAAGAACTTTATATATACGAGAGTGGTATGAAAAGTTTGGCTATTTATGTGAAGTTAGAATAGTCTATGATTCGAGAATATGTTATGTATTTATATAGGATAAATGGTATATAAATAGTAGTTCTTTGAATCTCTGAATAGGCTAACTAGTTCAGTTGAATGAATCGAAATTTTAACTGAAAAAAAAGTTTTAAATTTGTTTTGAACAAAATTGCTTGCAGTAAATGCAGAAAAATTTATTATTATTAAGACATATATTTA